AATATAATGAAATTAGAATGAAATAGTATGAAATCTAAAGGATTAGTATGAACTAAAAAGGGTTACAATTTGTAGATCATATATTTATTAACTATCCAATAGAAATATACTATAAATAATATGATATATTTTATATCAGGTGTTAAATTTATCACATGATAACAATATCAATCAAATTTGATTATATAGATCAATTAACACATGCTTTTCATATTAATAATAATAATATGAATTAAATATGATTAATATTAATTATAATTAATATAGAATAAAATAATATAAAGATAGAATGAAATAATATAAAAATAGTATGAAATATAATAAAAATAAAATGAAATAGTATGAAATAAAAATGAAATAGTATAAAATATAATAAAAATAAAATGAAATAGTATGAATAAAATGCGAATAATATGAAATAAATATGAATATAATTTACAAATCATATGAAAATCAATTATTTAATCAAAATAAACTATGAGAAATCATGTGATATGTTAAAAATTCATATTACAACAATATTTTTTTTTGAATAAATTAAATAATTTTTGAATTTGTTAATAATTTTGAAATATTCTTTTGTTATTTTTGTTAATATTATAAATATATTTGTATTAAAAGATTTTTTTAATATTTCAAAATGATAATAACTTCTTGTTTTTGTATTTATTTTAATTATTTTGCTTTTTTAGAAGATCAATACTTTTTTCAAGAAAAAATATTAAAAATTTATTACTATTAATAGTTTTTATAGATAAAAATCTTTATTATAAAGTAAACAGTGATTGTAATTATATAAAAAAGCATAAAGAAATAAGCAAATATAAAATAATCTTTTAATATTAATTAAAATACTAAAAGATTCACTAAAAATTTAACAAGTTTACTAAAAACTTAAAAAAAAAATGAGTTTATCAAGAATTTAAAATATTATAAAAGAATTTATAAAGAATAAAACACAAAGTTCTTTAATATTCAATTATTATTTTATCAAAAAGTAATTTAGATTTATTAAGAATCATTATTATTAATCAAAAAGAAAAAATACAAAGTAATTAATTCTTTTAATAAATATATATTAAATTAGTTATTAAGTTTATTAAAAAATAAAAACAAAGAAACTTTATTAATATTAAGTTAATCAAAAACTATTTAATATTTATATTATAATATCTCAAAATTATCTTAAGATATTTTATAATATCTCTTTTTTAGCTAAAAATACATGTTATATTTATAATAATTTGAATTTTTTAATTTAAAACTAATTTATTCTATTTAAAATAAAATTTAATTCATTTTATAAATTATCTTATAATACTTGTCTCAATATTTTATATCTTTTACTTAAGTATAATTAATTACTATGAATTACTATTAAGTTAATTTGATCTTTAAAGATTAATTAACATATTGTTACTGTTTTTAGTTTTTATATATGAAAATATTTAGAAATAGTTAACAGTAACTGTGTTTATAACAAATTTTAAATAAGAAAAATATAATTGATGATAATGGATAGTTGACAATAACAAATTAATAAGAATATAAATATAAAATAAATATTGAATATATTTAAATAATATTAAACTAAATATATGTTATAAATTAAAGTTAGAAATATATTATAAAAAATAAAAATAATATAATAATAATTGAAAATAAATAAAGATAAAACAAAAATAAATAAAAAAATAAAAGAAAACAACAAAAAAATAATAAAAAACTAATAAAAAACAAGAAAATAAAACAAATAAAAAATATAAAGTAAACAAAAGAAATAACAAAAAGAAACAAGATAAAACAAAAGTTATAATCTTCTTAGTTTATTTTGAATCAATCTTATATTATATATATAGTAAATTTAAGTTATATTAATCTATATATTATTTATATATATAGATTATAAAGAAAATCAATAAAAGTATAAATCTATAACATGTTGAAATATGATAATTATTATATAATATTAAAAAGAGATTTATATAAAATCTATATGTCACTAATTAAATTGATATAATAAGAGATAAAAATAAAGTATTAATAAGATTTAAAATATAAATTAATGTAAAATTACTATAAATTAATTAATTAATTAAATGATAATGAAATTTAAACTAAAATAATGTAATAAAAATGAAAAATAATATGAATTATTGTTATTGAATAATAATAGAATATTATTACACTTTAATAATAAATATATATTAAAAAATAATAACAATATGTTCTTTTATATAATAATAATATGTAGTATGAACTAAAAGAGATTATAATTTGTAAATTACATGTATACTAGCTATTTAATAGAAATATACTTTAAATAATATGTTACATCTTATATCAAATGTTAAAATATCACATGATGACAATAATTATCATTTTTAGAAAAGCAAAATTGGATAATTATAAAGAGAATATGACTATAGAAATTTTTTTATTATATTTATATATAAATGAAAAAGCAAAATAGGATAACTATAAAGAGGTGTATAAATGAATGTGATTATAGAGAGATTTGACTGTAAATATAAAATAAGAATAATTAATTTTGTAATAAATAAGAACGTATCACGTGGATTGATGCTGATTTCTCAAAACGATTTAGATTTGGCCCCAATTTTGGTAATTTTGGCTAGAGTTAAATCCATACGATATAAATACTCGTGATTTCTGTTCACATTATTATCCAATCACACGAACAGACTTAAAAAACTGCGCCAAACAAACGCGTCTGAGCTCCATACAAAAAAACTGTTTCTCGTGTCATTAGATTTTACTTTCATCTTTTACTAATTACAAAATTATCTTATCTCAATTTCGTCTTGCACGATTTCAAACTCAACCTAAAGCCCAAGAAACTGTACTTTTTTGGTGCCTGTGCACGTGACATTATGCAAAGATAACGCGTGTACCAATAAGATTAACTCGATTTGTACTAGTGTTTACATACAGAGCTGAGCCGCATAAAATATTCAAATAAATAAATACATGTAATTGAGCCAATTATTACATTTTAGCCAGGCACACCAAGTAAGCAACTGAACTGAGAGAAAAACCAATTGTTATTTCGGTTTTCGTTGGGTTGGGTGTTTTAATAAACAAATACAAATATACATTCGAACGAGACGATTAGAAGGCTATCAACAATTAATACATCTAAAACGGAGGAGCTGAATGTATTAGATTTATCTATACACAAAAACAACATCAAAAAAAAGAAATGTCTTCAAAAAGAAACAGATCTGAAGGCCCATCAGCTGAGAATTCAGCCCAAGACTCCGAGGACCTCATTTCGAGTACCGGCCGTCCAAAAAGAAGAGCTGCTACTCGTAACGTAAACTACTCTTTAGATTCGTCGTCTTATCGACGTGCATTGACCGAGTCTGCGGCAGGTGCGTCGAAGTCGACGACGACGACAAATAATAGTAGTAAAACAGTCAAAAATAAAACGACACGTGAAAAACGAATGCGGTTATCTGAAGAGGAGTCGATCGAGCAGCAGCAGTCTGTAAGAGTTACGCGATCTTTACGTTCGAAACGCGTCTTTACTGGTGATAATGAGCAACAGAAATCTTTGCCGCAAAAATTTTTGGCATCATCATCATCTAAAACAAATAGCAGCAAAGGCCAAGAAGAAAATAATCCACGAGAAATTGATGATGATGAAGATCAAGAAGAGGTGAAAAAGATTTCAACATCAAAGGGCAAACAAGCAGTGATCGAGATACCTGACGTTGATGATGTTTCAGGTAAATTTCAAATACTGAAAATTGTTATAAACTGGGGAAATAAAATTTACATATAAGCTTAAATAAAATTTTCGATATAGATGATCAAGAAACAATAGTAAGTGAAGAAAGTGACGACCCAATAGGCTTCAAAAATCAATCATTATTATCAGTTTCTAGCACATCCAGAGTCACTCGCAACCGCACTGCTCAATTGGAAAAAGTCATTGATGTGCCCAAAAAGAAACTAACTACTATGCTGCAGAAAAAAGCCTCAAAAATCAAAGACCAAGAAAGTGAAGACGATTCCGATTTCGTTATGGAACCGCGAATCAGTACACGTAGCAGTCGTCGCTCACAACGTACCATATCACAGAAAAAAGTTTCATATAAAGAAGACGAGGATTACATGGTCATCAGTGATGATGACGACAGTGAAGAAAGCGAAAAGATCAAAAAAAGAGCTGCATTACCTAAACGTGAAAAGAAACGAATTGTTATCTCAGATTCGTCCTCCTCAGACTCGTCAGACACGAAAAATGAATTCGAAACTGCACACCAAAAATTCTGTCAGCATTGCAGTACGCAGGGATACTACAGCGCGACAAATAATCGCAAATATGCCAACCAAGATAAAGTTCTTTTGTTGTGCGAATACTGTTCGTCTGCTTACCATCGTGGATGTGTTGCAGAGCATAACTTGAACGCGAAAAAATTCAAGTGTCTAAAGTGTCTCAAGGAGGTACCGAGTTGTTTAGAATGCGGAGGCAGCAGGGCTACAAATAAGAACAAAGAAAAGGATAATGATGGTTCGGAAAGTGAAGTGGATTCAGTTGAAGATGGATTGTTGAAGTTGTCAATTGAGACTGGTAGTGGTTATGATAAGACATTGTTTAGGTGTCATCGATGTTATTATACCGGTCATTATCGGTGCCTTCGGCCGTTGACAGATGAATCGAAAGCGCATGGTAGTACACCGTTAGAACGCCGGATCAGAATATACAGGAAAGATTGCAAGTGCATTGAATGCCTCACGTGGGACTATGAAATAGATAAAATTTTAACATATGAAGTAATCCACAAAAATAAAAAAGGAAAAAACGTAATTAAAGATTCCCCCTCACTTAATAACGGTGCAACTGTTAGCGATGAGAAAAAACCTGTAGTATCTTCATCCACATCATTACCTCTCGGCCCATCTTCATCTGATGTAGATCGAAAATACCTCGTAAAATTCAAACAAAGATCTTATCGAAAAGTTGATTGGGTTTCTGAACGATGGTTGATGTACGTCTCACCCAACTTATTCCGCGCTTTCAAAAAGAAAGAGCTTCCCCCATTGCGAAAAGAGGAAGTCATTCAGAGCGAGTGGACAAAGGTTGATCGTGTTCTCGATGTTTACTACGAAAATGATGCAATGTTAGCGAGCATAGAGTTTGAAGATGAGAGTGACGAAGAAACATCTATTCATCAAGTGAAACAAGCTTTTGTCAAATGGCAGGGGTTGAATTATGAAGAGGGTAAATAATTCTTTGTTTATTTATTTGATTACATTAGATAGGACAGTTTATTAATTTTTTCGGATTGTTCATATTTAATCTTTTAGCCACTTGGGAAGAAGATCTAGATCCAAACGATCAAGATTTTAAAGTCGCGTATATGGAACGTTTAAATTCAATGAAGATTAAACCTGGAAAAAAAATTAAATCTAAAGGTGGTTTCAAGGAATTCCAGGAACAACCATCCTATATTCCTGGGAAATTAATGGATTATCAAAAGGACGGTGTAAAGTATGTTGATTTTTGGTCTGTGTGTTTCTTTGCATTTTTTAGGAGTGTCTAATATTATTGATATACTTTCAATATTTGTTTGTTAATTGTTTCCTCCGTTCAGTTGGTTACTGTACCAGTGGTCTCGAGAAAAATCTTGTCTGTTGGCGGATGATATGGGACTTGGTATGCTATAAATGTTAATTCCTATAATTAATAATAGTGTTTACATCAACGGATAAAGAGTACAAACCAAATAACCATAAATTCAATTTAACAGGTAAAACAATCCAAATTATCTCCTACCTCTCAATACTCTTCCATGAGAACGCTTACTACCCCTACCTAATCGTCGTACCAAAATCAACAGCCATCAACTGGGTGCGCGAATTCAAAAAATGGGCACCGGAAATGAAAGTAGTCGAGTACCACGGCGAAACGCCAAATCGTAAAGTCATTGAGAAATACGAACTGTATCCGTTCCCGGACACGAATAAAGAACTACGATCCCTTAAATGTCATGTTGTTATTACCACTTACGAGACTATGAACATGAATCCGTCGGTGTTTGAGAAAGTCCCGGTGTGGCAAGCGCTTATTGTCGACGAGGCTCATCGGTTGAAAGGCGGCGCTAGCAGCCAATTGTTTAATACTTTGAAAAAGAGATTAGATGTAAGGCAGAGTATTTTGCTTACAGGTTTGTATTTGTAGTTGGAAAATATGTTTTTTTGTAGGATTGTTGGCTTATTGAATTTCGTATTTTTTATTTGTTTAGGAACTCCACTCCAAAATAACATTGAGGAGTTGTTTAATTTGATGAACTTTTTGGGACTTGAGGATTTTGAGGATCCGAAATTGATGGCTCAAGAGTACGAGCAATTCAATAAAGAGAAATTGGACGAGCTTCACGAAATGTTGAAACCTTACTTTTTGAGAAGAACTAAAGAACAGGTTTTGGGTTTTTTACCGCCAAAAGTAATTATTAGTTACATAAATTATTCATCATTTTAATTTTTATATGAAATAGCTCATAAATTATTAACTTCATCCTAATCGATTAACAGGCAGAAATCATAGTTCCCGTAGCAATGACATCTCTCCAAAAGAAACTCTGCAAAGAAATCCTTGCTAAAAACGTCGAACTCTTAAAAACCATCACATCATCAAAAACCACCGTCGCTAAAACGCGAAAAATGAATCTTCAAAATGTCTTGATGGAGGTCCGAAAAGTCCTCTGCCATCCGTACCTGATGCCCGGCATTGAAGACACTAGCATCGAAGATGAAGTTATCGTACACAAGAACCTGGTTGAAGCCAGTGGAAAACTTCTGCTTTTGCAGAAAATGTTGCCGAAATTGAAGGAGAAGGGACATCGCGTGTTGGTGTTCTCGCAGTTTAAGATGCTATTGGATATTTTTGAAGATTTTGTGATTAAAGAGGGGTGGGAATATGTGCGATTGGTGAGTTTTTTTGGTTGTTTTTTATGCTTGATTGCGTATTATTAAAGGGTGAGGAGATATTGAATGATCGTTTTTGGGGGAGGATAAGAGAATTAAATAAAACATTTTTGCTTAATAAAATGCTGGCTTTTTTGCTTATTTTGCTTAATAGGATGGCGATATTAGTGGAAATGAACGACAGAGTAAAATTGATGCTTTTCAAGCTACAGATTCTAAAATTTTCATCTTTTTGTTGACCACACGAGCTGGTGGAGTCGGATTGAATCTCAGTATGTGTGACAAAATATCAATTTTTACTTATCTATTTTTACAAAATTCGTAATTTCATAATTTAACTTTCTTTAATTATCAAAAATAAAGCTGGCGCTGATACAGTATTCATATATGATCCTGATTTCAACCCTCATTCTGATATGCAGGCACTTAGTCGCGTGCACAGAATAGGGCAAGATAAAGTGGGTTATGTTTTTATTCTTATAGATAAAAGTTTGTTGTTATTTGTTTATTCAAAGCTGAGTTATATTTTTGATATAGAAAGTATTAGTATTTCGGTTTGTGACAAGATCTTCTGCAGAAGGTAATGATAATTTCCATCATATTTGTAATCATTTGATTATTAATACTCAGAAACAAAAACAGAAGTTTCTTCAATCTTAAAAAATATAAACAGAACGCATCCTCCAAATCGGCAAACGAAAACTAGTTCTCGACCATCTAATCGTTGAAAAAATGGAAGAAGAAAAACTCGATGCCAACGACGTCGAAAGTGTCTTAAGATTTGGCGCCGAAGCACTTTTCTCTGATGAAACTGACGAAACAGCGCTGAAGTACCGCGACGAAGATATCGAGAAACTATTGGACCGTAGCTACTTGGAGAATGTAGCGCCGACTGATGAGTCATCACAATCTAAAGACTTGCATGGGTTATCGTTTGCTAGGATTTGGGATCTCGAGAAGAACCAGTTATTGGAGGAGGTGACGGATGAGAATGGTATCGGTAGGAGAAGTAATGGTGCTGAAAATAATGGTGAAGGAACGGACATTTGGGAGAAGTTGATACAAGAACGTATTCAACAGGCTGCGCAGCAAGAAGCTTCGGTTCCTGTTAGAATGACTAGGAAACGGACAAAAGTGGTTGGTTTTGATTTTTTTTCTTTGTATTTTGTATTGGTTGATTGCGTATATATTAATTAATTTATTACATTATAATAAACAGGTCAATTATTATGAAGATGAATACGATTCGCCCAAAAAGCGACGCTCAAAGAAAGATAAATCACCTGAAAAGCCTGTCGCAGAAGATAACGATGACGAATTCGTCCTCAAAGAAGACGAAATGTCCGACACAGCCAGCACCGCAACTACCAGTGAATACGAACAAGAAGGGATTTCAATTGGGTCAGTTGATAAAGCACAGCTACAAAGTAAATTTAAGATTTCGGCGTCGTCGTCATCGTCATCGCAGGTTCAACATCAATTTCAGGGTTCGAGTCAAGTTCAAATGCCCCAACAACATGGTATTCCAGCTGCTAGCGGATATCCGGGTCAAACTACTACCGCTCAAAGAGTCGCTGCAGAAAATTATCATCATCCTAATGAGATATTATACGCTCAATATATGCAATATCAACAAGAAGCATGGCGTCAAAGACAACGACAAGAGCAAGAACGAAAATTAGCATACCAAATGTATGTACAACAACAAATGCATCGACAAGTTCGTTACTTGGCTTCACAAGGGTACAGTTCATCACCGACACCTTCTGTTCCCTCTAATAACATTAATCATGGATATATGCTCCTTCGAACTCAGGCAACCCATCACGTGGCGAATAATAATGCTTTATTGAACAATAATAGTAATAATAATAATAATCAGATGCAGGCACAGGCTATCAATAAAACTAATCAACAGCATTACTCGAACGTCGTCGTTGTGCCTTCGAATGACACAACTAATAAGGATATTGATGCACATCAAAAACTTGTACAGGACAGCACCTCAACATCCACCACCGTTAATACTAATCAGGCGAAACCTGCCTCGGAGAATTTCGTAAACGACAAAAAACAAGATAAAAATTCAGAACAGATGCAAGAAGATAAAACCACCACACCAGTTGTCCCGTCAATTCCAACATCGAAAACATCACGTCCTGTTGTCCCACCACCTCCTCATGTCGAAGTGATTGACTTGGATTCACCACCGCATGAATCCGCGTCTGTCACTCATTCACAAACTAAAGCATCAACTTCTGCTAATTCACGGCCAATCGCTCCCAAAGATAATATTGCACGAGCATCTTCATTTACAATATCAACAACACCCATAACATCCACATCATCACAAAATAGCCTACAAATGGGATCATCGAACAGGAATTCTTCGACAAAATTAACTAATACTACTAATAATCGAACCATGAATTCATCACGTGGATATAAAGGTTCAACACCAGCTCAGTCCGACATCACACCACTTCGTCAAACAAATATTAACACCTTGACGACAAATCAACAAACCGGTGCTAGCATACCTGCATCACCTGGTGCTGCTAGTAATGGAAGTGCATGGACCTATTTACCGCCAACATTCCGAATGGGTATCGGAGGAAGAAATAATCCCAATAATAACACAAATAACAATAATATTAATCATCAGGGAGAAATTAATGATTTGCTTTCATATATTGACGCAATACAACTGAGTAAAGAGCCAACACCACGAAAAAAGAAGGCATTGGAGGCGATTTACACCAAATTGCATAACCTCCAGTTCGAAGTAGATCGGTACTTCCAAGAGAAAATACGGAAAAGGGAAATAGACCCAGAATTAATACCGCATCAGGTGGAATTTAGAAGTGCTAATTGTTAGTTTATAAATACTTATTAATAATAATGGTAATAATAATAATAATGTTAATTAAGAGATTCACGTAAAAAGCCAAATCAAAAATCGATAAATAGATGTTATTTTGTTTCCCCATCATTCCCAATTTATATAATGATAAATGGTCAATTTACTTGTAGAAAATAGCGCGTCTCCAACTGCTACATACTTATATCAGTAAATTTCCTTCCTTTTCAGACAGGCCTCGAAAAAACGCATGTGAAACTAGTTGTCTGGTCGGATTTCAAGATGTTTAATAAAAAATGGCTGATTCGTAGGGTCATTGAAGTATAGGTTTGGAATTACCGTTACCGATTAGAGAGCTCAGTTCTATTATTTGCTTGCTTTGTGTTTTTCTTTCACGCGAAGGTTTTGCCTTGACTGCCATATGGTTTGAAAAGGTTCGATGATTCAATAGACCTAATTTTATCTGATTTGCTAATTTAAAAATCAATTCCTTAAAATTAATCATTGCTGTTTTGGGAACCATTCTAGAAATACCAAAAATTCTCAGTATTGGACTCTGTCAGGCGCATAATAATGCGCCAGTTTGAAGCTTTTCTCCGATCCACACAAATTAGTGGATGATCGATGCGATCTTTTTATATATCGTTCACTTTTATTTTATTCGAAAACATTTTCATTCGATTAATAAATACACCAACATTAACAACATCAATACCAACAATTTAGAAAGAACAATTATTGTCGTCGTCTTCATCTCAATCATCGTAGAAAGAATCGTCGTGGATTCAAACTAAATATAATGATGGAAAGGAATAGGAGAATCTTCACTTCGTCACATTCGATCTATCCGATCAATGGTCAAATTGGTGTTGTTCCTAGCACTCTGATATTAAAATTTTTGAACTTCCATAATGTCCGTTGGGTGTTTGTTCCAAATGTATTAATGCGAGTACTACTCGATGAAAATCCAAACTTGGATTCGTTGCACAAAAGATCTGTTAATCGCTCTAAGTGGTGGATTAAGCTTCTTTGTTTAGAGTTTCGGTGAATTCTCAGTTATCGGAGAATATTTGTAATTTTACTTTTCTCGTGTGTACATGCATAGTAAATACGCAATTGGTTTTAAGATGGCAACAATACAGATAATGATGAGTATTATTAAACTCAAGGAGTTTTCTTGCTACGATTTAAGATCGTAATTTTTTACATTATTTTTATACGTAATAATATTATAGCAGTTTTGGAAGCAAGTTCTTTGAACCTTGCGTCACGCCGTTTGTGACGGTTCATCGTTGACATTGATACTATGGTGCATAACATCTAACTCATCAATAGATAGATAGTATTTATGAATTTATTAAACTTCTAAGAATAAATACAAAAATTTAATTCGTGAATATGAATACGATCAGGAAAGACATATTCTATAATATTTACTTCTTAGAAGTTATTGAATTCATAAAATATGAGTTAGAAGCATAACGGGCTTTCTTTGCGATTGGCTAATTTTTGTAGATCATTTTTAAAATTCTATTGGTTGATAAAAATAGCATGCTTTCTTAACGTTAATAAAGGGATCATTAATAAAGGATAATAATGCGATAAGTATGATTTTTTTAGTATTAACAATTAGTTGTTATAATGTTTTCTGCATAATGCTTTGCCAACTAAATTTAAATGTTTGTTATAGTCACTTTATTAGATACTACATAAAGCCATTCTTTTCATAAATAATATCATCTTCTCCATCCAGGCCACCATTTTTCTCACCAACAGGACGCTGTAAAGGCAACAAATAGTAAATTAATATGCGTATATTTTAGTTTGTTGAAATTCTAATTCTGAAATACCAAATTGCAAAAACGTCTCTATAGCTAACTTCCGAATTACTTCACCTTTTTTCAAATTAACGGTTTATAGAATATAATACTACTAAGTCGAAAAAATTTTATTGTCTGCGAATCCATTTAAAGTTGGATGATCATCTTTTTTAAATTAAAATGTGAAGATCAACCAATCAGATTTAAGCTTGCTAGATGTTATCATTATGCACCACATTAAATTTCATTTTGATTTCATATTAACGTTAATTGATTTCATTTTATTTTGTACCAAAACTCTCCACGTGACTTACTATGCACCAACCTGGTATATAGAATAGTTTCGTCACCTATCATATTAACGGGGGTTGAATTGTATATAAAAATGATGTCGATCCTTTATAGTATCAAGTAAAGTAGCAGAAAAAGATGCCTAATAGGTACAGTATATGATTGTCCCGTGGCGAGCAGATTCGTGGATGAGTGTTTTGTCGGTAACCACTCTCCTTTGGATCCGATGCCATATAAATAAACTTTCATCATACTAATTGGAAATCGTTGTTGGATTTACAAAAAATTTGGAATGAGACTCTCGGTTTTATTAGAATTCGAAAAAGAAACAATTATCATGTCTTTATTTTCTCTTCCTTAACTCGTGAGGACCCCGAATTGAAAGATCGTACAACAACGATCAACCGTGAATTGATTGTCCTGATAATATTGTTTATAACAAAGCTGTATTGATGTATTTATATTTATATTGGTGATGATAATAAGTGACAATAATAATATACAGATTTTAATAATTGAAGACCCTCTCAACACAGCACCAGTAATATTATTAATTATAATTAATTATAACAGTATAACCGCTTCTGGCGACCAGAGATTCAAAGAGTAATAGTCGTAATAAAATAAAGGTAGCAGAATAATAATAAGTAGGTTTCTTTACAAAAAAAATAAATACAAGATTGCTCGAAGGAAAGTGTGTATATGTATATATTTGTATTTGAGATGAATATATAATTAATGTGAGACATAAACAAAAATCGGTAAAAATAGACTTTTTTTGACCGAGGTTTTTTATCATGATATTATTCTCTTTTTGTCTTCTTTGGGAAAAAAGTTATATAATCAAAGAATGTAATATCAGGGTAAATAAAACTTATTCTATTGGACTTATACTTCCACTTGAATCATCACCGTCTTCACTTCCATATCCACTACCTCCTTTACGATCTGCATCCTTAATACTTTTCTTCGAGCCCTTCTTTTTGACAGGTATCATCGCTTCGGAACCTCCACCTACATTAGCTTTATTCACTAATTCCTCGTAATCCTCATTATCATCATCACCGCCACTACTTCCACCACCAGGATGAAGTCCAAATTTAAATTTATCTATGATCGAAAGCTTATTCTGCGATCGTCTGGATGCTGTGCTTCCTTTTCGATCTACTTCTGTACCGCTATATGATTCACTGGTGTGTTTTAAAGATGTGAATTCGGGGAAAGCAGGTGTTGGGGCAGCTGTTGATGACGATCCCAGCTGTTTTTTCAGATAGTTTAATGGGTGTTGTAATGGTGATAATGGTGGTGGGAGAATTAACTGTGGCTGAGGCGGTGAACTTGGCGGTGACGTTGTTATTGATGATGAGATGGATGGTGCAGTTGCATGAATAAATGGTGTTGTGCGAATTGCAGTATTTGATTCGGTAAATCTTACTGTGGAATGTCGCGAAGAATTATTACTATTATTATTATTGTTATTTGAAGGATTATTTGATAATTCGACAGCATCTTTATCATAAGGACTTTCACCCATTGCTATACTAATCTCTGTGGAAGTGGTATCAATCTTTCCACGAATACCTTTATCACGATTAGTTGGCACAGAAATATTTGACGTGCTTTGTTCATCAATGATCGATAATATGTTACTACTGTTATCAATGTTGTGATTATTGTTATCGTTAGTAGATCCTCGTCGTGGGTATCCACCAAAACTCAAGCTCATACTTCGTCGATGTTGCACGATTGACGAATGTGCAGGATGTGTTCGTCCATGATGCATAGAGTACCGACGTATACTACCAAAGAACTCTGAGGCACCCGGTTCAAGACTCACGTCACTTGCCATACTAATTCTTTGATCGTGCGAATATGTTCCTTCTCCTCGACCATCACCGTTGTTGTTTTTCGAAGTTTGTAATAGCACTATACCACTACAGATCACAAGGAATCCAAGAACTACTGATACGATGTTCACAGGGGGCGCTGTGAACCCCTGAAACAGAATAGCTGAGCTCACCATTGTCATACTTGTGAACGTGACATAGTAAACGGGTGTAACCATCGCAGTATTGAAAAGATTTAGAGCTTTATTGAGATAATTAAGCTGTGTCAGTAGCGTGACGATCACAAATGCACCAAGAAAATACAGAAACCAATGTTTGAATTGGTTTTCGCCCATGAATGAGGTTATGACTGCGCGTCCGAAACCTTGAGTAGCTACGACTGATAACGAGCCAATCAGCGAACAGATACCGATGTAGACTAACATGTTTTTTGAGCCGTATTTTGGTGCTATTTTCCACCTTACTATAATACTGCCGAGAATTGCGAGGCCAACATACACGAGAAAAACTAATTTGTTATATACAAATTTTTAAATACAATTAATTAATTACGATCCGAGGGAAAACCATTTTTTAACGGAAATTATGATTATAGTGTTGTTACATACGAGGCTGAATAAACAGATGCTCAAATTCATCAATAGTATTAGCTGTCTGTTGATCCGGTGCGTGCATCAGAATAATAATAGCACCGAATATACACTGAGCACAGCCAATTTTTCCATGCATATTAAGTCGCTCTTTAAGAAATATCGAAGAAAGGACAGCACTAAAATTAATTAATATAATTATTTTTTTATTTATGTAAATTATCAGCCAAAATCATATTTAGAAAGCGAAAAAAACGACTTCATACCTGATAACTACACTCAGCGCGCCTAGAGGCGTGACTAAGATAGCTTGTGTGAATGCGTAAGCTATAAAGTTACACATTTCTCCAATTATCACTGGAAAAAATCGATTAAGATCGATAGAAATAATTATTATTATTATCATCCCACGTCAATTAATATAAATATATATTAATCTAATAATTAAAACCTACTTAATGTCATGCCAAACCACCATAATCCATTTGACAGGTAACTATATCCTTCTCCGATGGCTGCCCCTAATTGTCGTCATCAGTAATATATAATTAATATATAAAATTCGAATAAGAACATTCTTGCAGTAAAATTAAATAAACACTCACCAGGTTTACTTGCTTGAAGAAGACCTTTCTTTTTGAATATGAAAGATGCTCCGATGAAGAGACCTATGACGAAAAAAATGTCCCACAAGATAAAGGAAATCAATATTTGTTTAAAAATTAATTGTTCGAGTTCTCATTTATTATAACTCCAATTTCCACGTATTAGCCAGAATTACTATACTTTCTGTCATTAATTTTACTCTAATTCGTGCAATCGACGCGTAAAAAACATCCAGTTGAGCAAGCAACGCGACTATGCACATGCAAGTATGTGGTGCCGTAAACTCTTATCATAAAAATCATCGAAAAATTTATTGTAATAATCTCAATCTTTAAGCTACAATCTCGTATTTAATAAAAATTCTCAAACTTTTAACACTTGCACAAACTCCACCTCCAACACCACCAATAACTACACTCACCACTTGAAAGCGCTAAAATCAGCCCAACAGTCTTGAAGATAGGGTCTTGACTTGACTCTTTCACAAAAATATTCTCCGAGGAAGAGGCGGTCGAATTCGACTCTTTGTCTCGTTTCATTAGCCAATCCATTTATTATTATTATTGTTGTTGTTGTTTTTATGTGTGAAATGAGTCTCCTTTGTTTTAGATTTAATGAGATGTTCACGCCACCAAAGAAGTAGCTATTGTTACTTTATTATCCTCAGTTCTGCAAAGACTAACAACAATATTATTATCAAGTGTGGCTTTGCTGTTTTGTTTTCTGTGTGTGGCTATATCGATATTATTTTTGAGCATTCAAAAACAGGGATACCCTAGTAGTGGTCGCGTCAATATCGGCGAGGTAAAGAGATAATAAATAAAGTATGCGGCGGTGAGGGCAAGAAGAAAGGTCTTTCAATAAGGGAAAAAATGTAATTTTCGCGAACAAAAGAATGAATGCGAAAATTTTATGTGTATGTATGTAAGGTTAAGCACTGACTAAGCTGTGCTTTTTTTACAAAGTCTTCCAACAGCTACCAGCGCGTCTTTAAGTTCTGTGATGAGAACTAGTAAATATATAATGATACTAATAATAGTATAATTATTCTTATAGTATTACCTACACACAAAGGGGTATTTTGAACACAATAGTGATAGATAGATAACCGTGATGGCTATTAAATAGTAATGGTAACTGTAACAATGTGTCAAAGGACGAGGTTTGATCAACTAATTTTTTTTGTTTTTTTTTAATGGTAATTTCATTTCCACATTTAGCTGATGTTTGTTGATGATAAGAGGCTTGCATTTACATGCGGTGTAGTAAGCTAGCCATATTATACTAATAAATAAATTATATCATCATATGTAAGATAAATCCTCACATTGGATTAGACATGTATAGATAGATCAAGATTTTCTTGTAAAGATTTCGTGTAACCATTTATTAAAGGAGCAGAAACGACGACTTTTCTTCGATGTAACGACACTAAAGAAGTAATAAACTATCTCCTGCGAAAAACCAGACATCTCTAAATTTCAAACCATCGATCGCGATAAGCAAAACCGAGATTCTGATGGCCAATCTTTAAAACAATAAGTGATTATCAAAAAGGCATACAATCAACGAGGCAGGACTCCAAATTCGGCGCGAGTTGGAGAAACTCGCGACGACCATCCAACAGCAACGTTTTCGACGACAAAAAGCTGTCGTTCGGCCAAAGAAACCTACGAGATGGATAAAAAGAGCCCGGAGTTACCGCGCAAAGTAAAGAAGGTGCTCCGCGCACTTTTTTGTTATATTGACGTTAAATTTAGTATATATACTTAATAAATACATGTAATACCAATTTGGAGTAGTGTTCCCGAGCTGAATTAATAATTATTTGTTAATTGACTATTAGCAAAAATATTATTATAGTAAAATTTATTCTATTTCACGTGAGTATGAAATAGATGAATTTACTATAGCCGGTTCTTGAAAATAGTGTGATTATGGTGCATAACACCTAAAGTCATCAAACGTTTGTATTTTACAAAATGTATAAACGTCTTTGCCAAAAAGTAAATACAAATTTAATCCGTGAATATACTCAGAAAGGGGCTATTCTATCATATTCACGGATTAAATTTTGTATTTACTTCTTAG